ATGTGCATTATTTTATTTGTCACCTTTCACAGCATAAATTAAAATTTTTAACCCCTTAAAGTTAAAAGTTTATCCTATTAAGTTTCTGCTCATTATTATTTTTACTCCTAAAATATCACTACTATTTTGATCCACAAAAAAATATATCACAACTATGATAATATGTATAATTAACTATGTTTTAGTTGAATTTATGAAGTGTTACAATTGTGCACGACTGTCAAAAATTGTTAATAACTAATATAATAACATTTAAAATAAGGTATTTATTTTTTTTTCTAGTAGAGGATAGTCTACTTTACTGGTCTGTCAATTAATACTAATAATTCAGTGGATTTTTTGTTAGTTAAAAATAGTTATGTAAAAAATTTTACAATTGACCCCACTCTCCCCTACATAACGTTGCATGAATAACGTATACATAACATACATAACGTCAACCTCAAATAAACTTGTTTACCTATGTTGATTTCGAAAAGCTCAATGTGTTAACATTCAATTTGATTTCATTCATCCTTAAAAAAACACTGCTTCTAAAAATGATTCATGAAAAGCTACTTTTAGTATGAAAAAAATCTAAATTATCTGTCATACATGAGTTGTCAATTAATGTTCTTATATCCACATGCATAAAGATAATGATAATAGTTGAAGTTTTTATCACTTCGAGTTTCATCATTTGATGTGTAAATAGAGGTCATAAAAATATTTTATCAAGAATAAGTGCAATTACGCTCAAACTTTTTTTCCTTAATTAGAACAGGAAATTTCCCTATTCTGGAAAATTAATTTATTTATATATTAACAAATAAATTAATTTGTTTCTATTTCATTTTTGCAAAAAATTTAAATATAAAGAAATATTGTTTTATGAAGCAAAAGGATATGTAATCTATTCCATCACAATGTTGACACTTGTTTCAGAAATACTACAAAGTTTTATTCATCTTAAAAATTTACTTTTTTTCTATCCCTAAATACACTATTTTCACAATTTAAATAGTTTACGTTTTATTATAAATTCATTTATAAAAAATATATACTGTAATGCTTTAAATATATAACTTTTATTCATAAATGTATAGGGAAATTGTGAGATTTAATTGAAAAAAATATAAATTATTAGTTAAATATGTCAGCATAAGGTGAATTTTAATGTTAATCATCTTAAACTTTACAGTTATACTTCTGTATTATAGTGTGTCTGTAAAAAGGAGTTCTTGTAATAATAATTCATTGAAGATTTTATTGTGTAAATTCATCGCATTCTTGCTTTTATTACTCGAAATGTAAATAATTCCAAAGACTACCTAGTCGATTTATAGACTGCATAAAATTGTATGGTAATGTAAGCAATAATTAATCTTTGAAAATTTGTCTAGACAATTTTCATATTGTCAAAATTTATGTATTAGTTCAGGTATTAATAGATTGAAGCTTTAAACGCCAGACAGTATATACATTTCTTAGGTATTCTACATATTTCCTTAGGTATTCTACTTAATATATAAATGTATTATGCGAAATGCATGCATTTTGTATTATGCATTTTCATACTTTCTTGTTACTTTTTCATGTATTTGTGTGTCATTCCCATGAACTTAAATTCTTGAAAATATTGAGGTATAGTGAGATATAATTTTCGTTTAATAGCTTTGAGGTGTTAAAACCATTTCAATATTTTTAAGCCTTAAATCTTGATTTGTACTAGTTTTGTAATACTATTTACAATTACTATTTACTAATAGATACTTAAACTTTTATAAATAATAAATTTAGCATATTTTAAAGATATGACTACGAAGGGAAATTTTCCCTACAAAGAATTTGACGAAACTAGTTTGGAAATAATTGGAAATTGATTTGTAATGACGTAGGTGCGTTTGTAACGTAAGCATAAAAGAATATTGCAATGCTTGGAAATTTACATAATAGTGATTGCTTTTTTTTTAATTCTGCAGTTGATAATAATATTTTAGTGACATTGAAATCCAACAAATTTGTATCCATAATTGTAAAGCATTGAATCAATGTACAAATCTAATTTTAAATTTAAAAAAAAAACTGTCGTCTATTTTGCTACAACTATAAACTGCGTCATAACATGTAATCTGCATACCACTGTCACCGTCATGGCTTGTTTCGAAATCACAATATTTTGAAAGATCCTATGTTTTAACTATTAAGACTTTTATAGCATTTTTAATATCATCGATAAATGATACCACACCCTAAATCAACTAATGTTAATAAGTAAAAATTTAAGGACATTGAAATACCAGGTACCACTAACTTGATTTGTTTATCTTATTATAAGTCATCGGGGAATATCATTTTTTGAAGAAAAAAAAGATAGCAGTTGATAATTAAATTTCATGCAGCTTGAATTATTTATAATTTATTGTAGTCACAAGCTTAACCTATCTTACAATAGAAATTGAAAAAGGTTTCTTTTTAATTTCACCAAATCACTAGACATGTGAACAGTTTTGAATTTTGCGAAATGATTTTTTTTTAATAAATCAAATGTATTATAACTATATTTGAAATATACTGCATGTAAAAATTAAAAATAATGATATATTACAAACATTCAACAATTTAGCGCTCTTACTAATAATAATCAGAAACTGGCATTGAAAAGACAGTATTTTTTCTAAAAACTACGACAATTTCGAGCTGACATGGGAATGCTATCCGCTGTACAATTGTGTTGCATCTTCCTCTTAGGCCTCAGAATAATGTTATTAAATCTGATAACACTTGCAAATCTAATGAGCGGCATTATAAATATATCTCATAGCAATAGTAGAAGAATATTTTACATGAGAAAGTCTTGTCACTGTTTGGAAAAACTTCGACATTGTTTTCCATCTAAACTTTTCCTGGATTGAACAAATAAGAACGTTCCTTAGTTGATTTATATTATCATTGCAATTTTTCCCCAACTGTAGCTGTTATGATCTTGGGAGATTAATATACGTTATCCCAGTGATAATTAATGCGCTTCTAAATAAACAAAGCTAATTCTTAATCTCAATTTGCATAGTACTTGGGGTACTTTTTTCAGGTACCCCTGAATACAATCTGTTTTATCCAATGTGATGAAGCGAATCATCAATGTTAATGTAATCTTAATTTTCTTATGAGATATACAACTTATAGCTCTTAAAACAAAATAGAAAACATCCTGAGCAACTTTTGTTCTAATGATCGGATTTTTACGTACTAGGGCTCAACCTTAAGGGCTCAAGGGCCTGAACATAAATATGTCAATTAATTAGTGCAAATTATGTTTTAAGTTACGAATTAGACAAAAGAACGTTCTTTCTATGAATAAGCATACCTTTTTTTACATGGATTTAAATTTATTGCTTTCAAAATATGGGGAGCAAAAAAAAATTTATTCTAATAGCTTAGGAGCAGGAGATTGGCCAAAATTTAGAATTCCTTATTAATAAAGTCACTTTATGCGTATTTTACCATATTTCGGGAACTTTTAAGGGAATGGAAAATGTTTTGCGCAGATTTATAAAATTTGTTTATTGAAAGACAGTTTCGTGTAAGAAATATTACTTAATAATTGTTTATTATTTTCTATTATTTTAATTAATAGCTGTCGAAAATTTTGATTCGAATTGTAAAGTAAATAAATTTCTACATCGTTTTAAAGTATGTTTTTTTAAATCACCGAATACTCAATTTGAACGAAATCGGCTTAATAGTTTTCATGATTTCAAATTTTAAATAATACTTCTTTTTAACTTAGTCCAATTACCTAATTAGCATGATATGCAGAAAATTTTTTAAATTAGGTACATTTATTACCCTTTATTTTATTTTGTATTTCTTAAAAGTAATCTTACTAAGGGAATATAAAATTCCTTGCCATGTTTTTTTAATATTTTTTTAAGAGCTGATTCGTGAGTTACTAATAACTGAATATCTTTATTTATTACTTCTATCTGAATAACATTTAGTGTATTTTAAACTTCAAAAGCTCATAATGAATACTCTTTCGAAAAGCTTTTTAGGCTTTTCAATATCTATACGCTTAACCATTATGTACATAAGTCATTAACTTTTATGTATTTAAGTGAATTTCATAATTTATTAAGCATTCTTTAAAAAAAAAAGCAATTTTTCAAATTTTAACATACTAATCTATTTGATATTTTTTTATTATTGTTATTATTTTATTTCATTAAAAGTATTTTATTTTGCATATATCATCTTCTTTTGCGCAAATAATATCATTTTCATTTGCGCAAATTTTAATAAAAGCTAAAATATTTCTGCTTGGTTGTAGACGCGGTGTAATAGTTTCGTAAATATTTGTCTTCACCAGCTGTTATATGTTACAATACAACTCTTATGAATTGTTTAAATTTGAAAATATTTAGTTTCCTTTTGAAATATACTCTACACAAACAAATCTAAAATTTTCGAACACAGAATGTAAGTAAGTATGTATTTTTAAGCCTCTTTTGCTTGTAACACAACAAAATTTTATAATATCCTTATAGAATTAATAACCTATTTTCAGGTTAAAGATAAAGTGAAGAATGCTTACTTTTCATATGTTTTGCAGATTTTTGTTTACTTTTATAAACTATTTTCTACATATCATACAGTGATATTTTTAGATTAAGTTTCTTTTTGCTCTTTACTATTATTTATTTATTTAGATTAAGTTCGCGCTTTCGTGCCACAGGTCCTTGGTTCGATCTTGATGCCGGGTAAGGTTGACTTTGTCTTTCATCCCTTCAGTGGATCGATAAAATTAGCTCCAAGCGTACTTGGGAACTAAACACTGGGGGTTCCGAATTGGCATCAATGATTTCCTTTAACTATCGAATCATCTATTAAATCTGTTTTATTCCATGCACTTAATTCGTAAATCTTGCTTCGTTAGATACACTTTCATTCACACTGTAAAAAATGGATACTCAAATATCAGAAACTTTCTTCATTTTTGACGAAATTGTTTCCTAGTATATGCTCCAATCAAAAATTTCGTCAAAATGACAAAATAACTATCGTCACGTCTTCGGGGAAACAAAGTTCATCCAAATTGAAGAAATATTTCGTCATTCTATTTTTTTCTAAAAAAAATAATAATAATGTTACTAATGTATCTAACTTTTCTAATCATCACTTTAATCGTGAGCACAGCACAAACAAGGGCAGATAGAACAAAGAGATAAATTACACCCATACCAAGCGGGATTCGAACTACGGATCTTCCTAGTACGCGGCCAACTTCTTGACCACCGTAGAGACCGATCAGCTTCGTCACTTTATCTTTGATTGTCTAGTCTTTATTCTAGTCTCGTCATTTTGATTAACAATTTCCCACATTCAATATGATGAGGTTTCGAATGGAGGAAATATTTTCGTCATATACATTATAGAGTTTGCTTTTCGTCACAAATCTTGACAAAATGATTCCCAAAATTAACGAAATACTGCTCAAGGATTGCTGCTTTAAAGCAGAAGTTCATAGCAATTATTAGTCATTTAAAAATAAATCTAGAATCAATATTATTATTATGAACTTAACACCCACGGTCTTCTGTGACTTTGAAATAGACGCATCTGTCAAAACCATCTCGAGCCTACAATGGGAAAACAATCTTTTTTTGTCACATATAGAGTAAAATAGACATTTATAAAGGTCTTATGCAAAAAAACAAGTTTTTATTTTGATTTGTCCCTGAAGCAGAGATAGAAAATAAAGTTCTCCACCAACTACTTGTTACTTTTAATTTAACAATAATGTAGGACAGAATAATAAAATTACAATCTCAAGAATTTCAAGTATAAATATTACAATTTGAGTTTTATAATTTGAATTCTATCTCAAGTGAAAAAAACCACCAGTAAAAGCTGCTTATCGTAAAGTTTTTATGCCAACTTCCATTGGTATGTTGAAGTCATATCATGAAAATGTCAAGTGTTTTTATTTTAATTGGTATTCTTCGAGTGAGCTAACTGAATTATATCCAATATGACGAGTGAAAAAAAATCCTCCTAAAATTTAACTTTACCATTTTACCACGTTCGTTAATAAATATGATAATAGTTCCCACCTTATGTATTTCGTATGACTCAGTTTTGTTATTCATCGATGATTTTATTTTATAAGTTTCCAAAGCCTTTTTAAAGAAATTCAAAATTCTCCTTGAATTATGAAATTTTTTTTTACAATTGTACTCGACATTAATAGCGTAACTTTGACGAGTTGTATGTAATTATTTTATTTTTGTTTCAGCTATCGATATGGCTTATATTTTATTTCTTCTGGCATCTTTCAGTTACTATGAGTTTTTGTTTTTATGACAAATTATTGCCGATTTTGTGCTGTGATTAAGTTATTTTAAATGGAAATTTCTGCTTTGAATTCACATTTGAACATCATGAATAGCAAAATAAGTGATGTAAAATGCTGTTTTATTTTTTAAATTTAAGCCAAAATTGTTTAAAATTAAAAGAAATGCAAGCTACAACTTAAATAAATGAACATGTTTTAAACATGGATCAAGGATCTATTGTTCTATTGATGCGCATAAACATGATAAACGTTATTAACATCTTCTGCAGGCATTCTTGATAATCAAAATGAATGTTTCAATTTCTTAGGTGTTATTCATCATGTGAAAGATAGATTTATTAAAAATGTACATTCATGTGGAAGTAATATAAGCAAGCTTTATATAGTCACCAACAGATGGAGCTAGAAGTCAAATCATCATCGACGTTTCTGCGAAAACAAAAGTTCAGAAGTGCAGTGCCACCCCAATGACAGTCGACACCAACCCACGACAGTTTATTGGTCGCATATCCACCCTTGACAATGCATTCTTGCCTTTGCCACCTTTATCTCCAGATCTCAATCCCTGCAATTTTTATATGTTGGGGCTCATAAAAGTTAGCCAGTATAAGCCTCCTGGTCCAATGACCATTACTGATGTAAAAGCCCTTAACGCACATGTTATCGTCACCATCGATACAAACTTGCTGCACAAAGTTTGGCTCTAATTGCAATTTAGACTTCATTTACCCAGTATAACAAAAGAAGCGCTTATTGAACGTTTGTGAGGAGTACATTCAAAACTTCCTTATGTATATATTAGATCCTGCATTTGCATGTATATACATTTTTAATGAATGCATTTATGACATTTTGCGCATGAAATTGGTCCAGCTACTTTGACTTACTCTGTATCTACAAGAAAAATAAAATAAAATCACCATTAAAAAGAAATTATAAATAAATTGGTTAAATATTTATTAAGAGACAACTTAAATATTTCACGTGACTTAACATGGTCATAACAGTTGCTGTTGCATCAAATATTTGATAGCTAAATTTAAAAATAAAATGGTCAAAGAAAGTTTCCTAAATAGTGAATTAACGTTATCTTTCGCTAAGTCTATGGTTTCACTGATAAATATTAATTTAGATTTGTTTTTCATACCTTTAGAAATAAATATTTTTTCCAGCTTGAATAATCGTGATCTTCGGCAGGTGATAAGCATCTTAAAAAGCCGATTTAGTCATTAGAAAATATTATTGAGATTGCATTATCCTGTGTTGCGTTAATAGCTTGTTTGCTTGTAAGCATAAATACATTTTTATGCAAGCAAATAATATGTAAATTCTGAAATATTACAGACCAATGCATGACTCTGAATGTATATTAACCCATGTAATCAAAGTGTCGACAAAGTTGTCCTTCAATATATAGAACAGAGGTCTAGTAAATTCGTACCCCTTTTTTCAACTGTCATGAATATTTTCTGAGCTATCAAGGGCACATTTGAAAGTAAAAGGAAATAATATCAGTAACTAAAAATGTAAGCCGACTGTTGTTGTTAACCTCTAAATGAGCTCGATTAATTACGCTAAAATCGATTTAATCATCGTCTGCTCTTTATAAGAATGACCTTTGCATTGTTGATTGTTAATATGACCACAAGACGAGGTTAGACAGTTTCTTAAACATTTTCTTATTTTAAAAGCTGCTTTATTAGATTTACACGTGGCATTTGTTTCATATAATCTATCAAATGGATATTGTCAATTTTTATGCCGAACTGAAGAACTTTATTGTCGTTTTATGAGTAACGTTTCGAATAGTTCAATAAAAATGTAATGATTTGAAGTACGTGTACACCATTCTCTCTTAATTTGAGTACAAAGTAAGCATTTTCATAATTTATTTATATTTTAATTAAATGCTATTTCGTTCCATAATTAATATCATATGGTTATTTATAGCAACGAAGTCAGAAAGCTTTGAATTTTTTTATTCTAAAAATATATTGTGTTAAATTCGCAATAGAAGATAGATAGAATTTTATTTTATAGGATTACAAATCAAACAGCATAAAATATATATATTGCTCTTTTTTTTTAAACAAAATAAATATAATGCCATCTTTAAATGTTACAGAATATTTTTTTTAATTTCCTTTACACATTAGAGTAAGCCAATTCGGATCCTTAAATTCGATGTAAATTATTAAAGTATTATATTTGTTGTAGAATGGTCTCAATACTTATTTAGTATAATTATTTTTACATTTTTATTGCTTTAGTGTTAATAATTATTTACCTTTTTTTCGTAAATAATTAAAAATAAATTTACTTTTTTAACAAAAAATATATATTAAATTAAACAAAATTCACATTTATATATTTATTTTTTAATCTTATTTAGCGTATGTACAATTTTAAAATATACAATATATATTATTTAGAATGCATTGTATGAATCATTTCATTAAAACACTCGTACATAGTACTATTGTGATATCTTTAATATTTCATTTATAAATTGTGATGAATGAGTTAGTTAAAAAACACATTTCATTTGTAAAAAATAATAATAGAAGAAATTTTGAAAAATAATTAATATTAATAAAATAAATTCTAAAATTTATTTTGAAATCGTACTTATTTCATTTTTAATAAAACTTATATTTATTTATTTGAAGGAGATGCAACTATGCAAGTCTTACACTTTTGTCTTAATTTAAATTTTTATTTGACTATCTAAATACATAATCAGACATATTTTTCTCATGTTATAGCTACCTCAAAATTTTTTAAATTTTAATTAGGTTTATAATTCAATGTGATTTTCTGCTAGATGCTCTTATATTGGTATATGTTCATCTCAAAAAATATACATGGACGTATCATAAACCGACATACATACTATACAAATGCATACCATAAACCGACGCTACTTAGGCCCTTTTTCCCCAGTTTTTATAGAATTCAGACTGTTGAAAGAAAAACCATTCGCTGTTCAGATTAGCATTTGTCCCAAACGGGGGTTTTTAGTGAAGGAATAATGTATTAATTTGAAATTTTTACGGTCATTAAAAGGAAGATTGTTTTAAAAGAATATGTCAAAGTAACCCTAATTATGATTTACTTGAACCAAGTCCTTTTTTTTTTCTCTCTGAAATGACAATTTGCTTTACACATCAGGCCAATGCACTATCTCAGGTGGGGTTATTTTAATAAAATGAATGCAAAACCAATCTAATAGCAGCAAAAATGAATCGATACAAATTGAATGTTGGAAAATTCAATTTTAGTTCTATATCGCTCATGGGCTGCAATAGCGGCACAACTCAAAAAATCATGTTTTGAGATAAGTGGGTTTAAAGTTTTCATTGCTNATATTGATAAAATTAATATTAATAAAATTAATATTAATAAAATTAATATTAATAAAATTAATATTAATAAAATTAATATTAATAAAATTAATATTAATAAAATTAATATTAATAAAATTAATATTAATAAAATTAATATTAATAAAATTAATATTAATAAAATTAATATTAATAAAATTAATATTAATAAAATTAATATTAATAAAATTAATATTAATAAAATTAATATTAATAAAATTAATATTAATAAAATTAATATTAATAAAATTAATTCTAAAATTTATTTTGAAACCGTACTTATTTCATTTTTAATTAAACTTACTTTTATTTAGTTGAAGGAGATACAACTATGAAAATCTTATACTTTTTGTCTTGACTTAAATTTCCATTTGACTATCTAAATACATAATCAGACATATTTTTCTGATGTCATAGCGTCCTCAACGTTTTTTAAATAGTAATTAGGCTTATAATTCAATATGATTTTCTGTTAGATACTCTTATATTGGTATATTTTCAACTCTGAAAAAATGCATGGACCTACATACATACCATAAGCCGACGCTACTTAGGCCCTTTTTTCGCAGCTTTTATGGAATTCAGACTATTAAAAGAAAAACCATTCGCTTTTCAGATTAGCATTTGTCACAAAAGGGGGTTTTTACTGAATGAATAATGTATTAATTTGAAATTTTTTACTGTCATTAAAAGGAAGATTGTTTTAAAAGAACATGAATATGCTTTATACATTGGGACAATGCACCATCTCAGGTGAGGTTATTTTAATAAAATGAATGCAAAACTTAGCTATAATTGCAGCAAAAATGAATCGATACAAACTGAATCTTTGGTAAATTTAATTTTACTTCTATATATTAGTGCCATTTTACTTTGACAAGTGATACAGTCATAAAAATCATTTGAATTTTAGAAATAATTTTTTTTTAAATATTATTTATCAGTCTTAAAAAATTATTATGACTTATATAATAAAATCATGAGAAAATAAATTATAATTATGATCTTAGTATTATATATTTATTAATACTTTTTCCACTCTGTCTTAATTTTTTATTTTGTTATTCAGGTTGCAAAGCTAAAATTTTACAAATTAAAATGACTTGTATTATTCAGTACTGTTTACTAAGCAGTAGCTACAGCATTATATTGATTTCTTAAAGCATAAAATTTCCTTTAGATACGACTCTTTTTATTATTTAACATCTGAATTTCCATTCTATACTTAATATTTTTCATCATTAGTACTTTGATTTGGTTCTGGGAAAAATAAAATAACTTTCTCCTACTTTTAGGTAAAAATTATCGCAGTCTAATGATATATTTGTTACCGCGAAAGTTAAAAATATAATCAATGTCGACATTGTCGAATGAATGCGGCATAGTCGCTTTTATGCACCCTAAAATTATTTTTTTAATAATGTTTTGTAGTTGTGAAATCGGAAAGTGCTAAGATTAAGCATGCAGCGATTGTGGCTGTTACCTAAAATGTTTTGTTATCATCATTTCTTGCATGCTAAAATTTCCTCATTTTCTAATGTGAGTAAGTAATAATGTTTGTAAGAAATAATATTTATGGTAAAAAGAACTTCTTAATATAGCGTGTCAACATTTACCAGTTTAAGTAAAAAATAAAAAATAAAATGAAATTTGTCTCAACAGTCAAAATCAACTGATATTGATTCTCAACTTTCCCTGATATAAACGAAATAATGATATTTCAACAACGTTTCAGTCACCCACCATATTTTCGATCTCATTGTATCAACAGCTTCGAACTTTCACTTTAAGTATATCCATACATAAGATCCATGAAGATATTCCCAGAATAAGAAATAATGAATTCACTAAGCAAAATAAAAGCAAATTGAATAAAGTCCGTTGATTACCCGTTGATTTTTAAGAGTTGCCTTTTAGATCCACGGAAACAATGCGGAAAAATCTAAAATGGAGGATAAGGCCAACTTAGAGCGGGAAGTCAAAAAAGCAAAATTGAAAAAAATGAAGTCAAGGTTAATAGAAAATAAAAATAAAAATCAACGTTGTTTAATAACAGTACACATTTAGTTTTATAACACTGAGGACAAACTTTAATGTATTACAAGGTTTTCATCAATTTGAAAGTGAGTACCACGTTACTGAACAAAATTGTTTTACCGCTATTAAAGCATAATTTTAGAATTAACCATTTTTAAGAAATGAGAGCGGTGTTTTTCGTATTTTTCTGTGGCCATGACACATACCACTTTAAATTAAGATGTTCTTTTTCTACATCGATTTGAAATAATGTAAATTTATTTTAACTGTAGCAATTGTTCGCAATATATTAAACTGAAACATTTGTTTCGAAAATAGGGCATTATAAAATAAATTTTATAAGAATTTCAATATAAATTTAGAATTTTTTGGATGTATTGTTGAAGTTCTGCCCTCATTAAGTCGCTTTAAACTGTTTAATTAATTTAGGATATATTTTCAGGTTACATCAGTTGGAATTTGCCTAAATAACTTGTTTAATTATTTCTCAGCCGCGAGCTGCATTTAATATAT